TTTTTAATATAGTTACATAAGATACCATTTACATATTATTATCAGCATAAAAGCATATCAATTCTTTAGGTATTATGCTCGTGGTACTTTTGATTCAACCATTATTGTTTAATGAGTTCATGTGGATAGGGAAGTTTCTAGTTTATTTAAGGAATTAGATTAGATAAGGTAGTAAAATTATATATATTTTAAATTATCTTAATAAAAAATATGATTTAACTTTAAAGTGAACAAATGTGATGTAGTCCAGATATATTACGGGGAAGTTTCTCACTTCAATTGATTGGGCTATTTGAATATTCTCTTTGTCAACAAATCATCCCCAAGTATTTCATATTATTGACATGAAATTATTTTTATTTTTTTATGATATTAATAAAATACTTGGTAAATAAATATATAGCATTATTTTGTATTATAATTTTGATATTTAATTACAAGATAGTGTAAAAAGAAAACAATGACAATCTAGTTAATTCTAAATTTATATTATTACATAATTTGTACCTTATGCTATAAATGTTGTACTACATAATTATTTGGACAAAAATATCCCTGCCGTTATAACTTCTGTTATCTTTCACATTATAATTATTATGCACATGCATACACAATATCTCTTTCTTACATTCTTCAATTGATAAGTTTGATTTTATTTAGATTTTAATTAAATGTTACCATAATTATATTTAGTAATATATCATTTTTATAATTCTTACTTCATTAATATTAATATGAATTCTATATATATATATATATATATATATATATATATATATATATATATATATATATATATATATATATATTTTTTTTTTTTTGAAACCAAAAACCGAACAGAACTTCATTGAAAAAGTAAACCCGCAATATAAGTAGGTGGGATAACAGCCCACGACCCGGAGACAGGCGAAGAACTAGTTGCCCGAGCAAGAGCATGAGCTATATGGTTCGCTGATCTCTTGACGTGGTGGATTTTAACGTCCCCTATGTCTCTAGCAAGCGATAAACATTGCTTTACAACCAAACCTACATAGGAAAGATCTAAAGTGCGAGAATTAAACGAATTACAAAAAGTTAAGCAATCAGATTCTAAAATAAAATGACTATGTTGCATCCCGGTTAACCATTTGAGAGCTTCGAACGCAGCTAGAGCTTCGGCCAAAAGCGGCTCCCTGTTACAAGTAAGACGACCGCTACGAGCCGCAACGAAATTGCCCAAGTGATCACGAACCACCGCTCCGAAGCCCGCTCCATCATCGAACATGGCCGCGTCCACATTACACTTGAGGACGTTAGACAGAGGCGGTAATCAATGACCTTCTATGATTTGTTCGTGTGACCGAGTCATCGAACTGCCGAGAGCATTCTTCCACAGTACGAGTTGCCGATCAACCTGCATTTTGAGACTCTCTATCACAAGCGTAGAACCTCTCCATACCACATCATTACGTGCCTGCCACAGTGTCCATATGATAGCTGCTAGGAAGATCGCTTTCTCCACTGCCGAACTCCCCAGAACCGTGTCCATGAAAGTTGGCAGGCTCTGACCTTGAAGAACGTCATCAACACCCCATAACCCTCTTGCCCAGTGGCATTCGCAGAAGATATGCTCAGCTGATTCGGATGGGTGCCCACAGAACGGACAACCTCCCCCCTAGCCATACCCTCTTTGCTTTCAAGTTTTCGCGGACCGGCAACACTCCACAGGCGCACCTCCAAAGAAGATTCTTCACTTTGGGTGGCACTGGGATAGACCACAAACGATTCCACGAACGAAACGAATTATCCGAAGATACAATTGCTTGAAAATTGTTAAGTAACCGATATCCATGTTTCACCGTATAGCAACCGCGTATATCACCAACCCATCTCCAGGAATCCTTCATATCCATGTTGATTGGAGTTGCTAGGATTCTTCGTACATCCTCCTCCCGAAACATATCCGAACCACATCTTCATCCCATTCCCCTTGTTCGGTCAACAACCTACACACTCTCGCTTCCTTATGCTCCTCAATGCATGGCGTGACTAGAGCTGCATCCATGGTAGTAGAAAGCCAACCCCAACCCCAACCCCAGATTTTAGTGTCCATACCATTGCCAATTCTTCGCGCAAGTCCCCGACTTAAGACATCCTGCGCTGCCAAGACACTACGCCAAAAATAACTCGGGTTGCCACCCAAACGTGCTTCCATGAAATCGCACTTGGGAAAATATTTGGCTTTCAGAAGCCTACACACCAGTGACTCCGGATGAATTAACAGTCGCCAGCCTTGCTTTGCCAACAACGCCAGATTGAATTTGTGCAAACGTTTGAATCCCAAACCCCCTCTACACTTTGGTTCGAACAAACGCCCCCAACTCAGCCAATGGATTCCCCTCCCTGTACCACCACTGCCCCACCAAAAACGATTAAACATTTTTTCCAAAGTGTCGCAGCTCCGGATTGGCAGCAAAAAAATTGACATAGTAAAGATAGGTAGAGCTTGAGCTATACTTTTAAGTAAAACCTCCTTACCAGCCCTAGATAACAATCTGTGTTGCCATGCTCCAATACGATCAAGAATTCTCTCCTCAATGTATCTAAAAGTAGCGACCTTGCTTATCCCGATGACCGACGGAAAACCCAAGTAACGCTCCAGATTTTGAGCTTCCCGAACCCCGAAATACTCCGAAATCATTTGCTTAACCGCCACAGTAGTATTAGCGCTAAACACAGCACTGGACTTGAAGAAATTGATTAACTGACCCGACGCCTTACAGTACCTGTCAAGACACTCTTTGATTTTAGAAGCTTCCTGATATGTCGCCCTGAAAAATAGTAGGCTGTCGTCAGCGAAGAACAGATGGGTGATAGAAGGTGCACCCCGGGCCACTCTCACCCCGTGTATGTCGCCTCTCGCTTCCGCCTGTTGGAAAAGAACAGACAGCGCCTCGGCGCACATGATAAATAAATAAGGGGACAATGGGTCCCCTTGACGGATACCCCGAGTGGGACAGACTGTACCCACTGGTTCTCTATTCACGAAAACTGAATAGGCGACCGAAGACACACATAACATCAAAACATTCACCCAGCGCTGATTAAAACCCAGTGCTAACATAACTCCCTCCAGAAAACCCCACTCCATTCTTTCATATGCTTTAGCCATGTCTAGCTTCAGCGCTACCCAACCCATTACCCCGCACACCTTCCTACGGAGGAAATGACCCACCTCCCCAGCAATGATAATATTATCGGTGAGCAATCTCTCGGGGACAAAGGCGCTTTGAGATTGCGACACGACATGACATAACAAATATTTAAGTCTATTGGCCAACATTTTAGCCAGGACTTTGTATACAACATTACAAAGAGCGATCGGTCGCAAATCGGCCACCAATTCCGGGACTTTTTTCTTAGGCAATAAAACAATATTAGACATATTCAGGCCCTGCGGGAAACTGCAGGTGTCAATAAGCTTATGACAAACATTGACAAATCATGGCTGAGGACCGGCCAGAAATGTTGATAGAAAGCTAGAGATATGCCGTCTGGGCCCGGAGCTTTCTCCGGGGCCATGGAGAACAAGGCCGATTTCACATCCGTAATTGTGAGCGGCTGCAACAGTGCAGCGTTTATCTCATCGGATACACACCAGCTCATCTGCGAGAACACATCCGACACACCCCCCTCAGAGCAAAAAATAAGATTATAATACCTCATCACTTCTGCATGCATTGCCGACCCCTCCCTCCACATCCCAGTTTGATCCTTGACTCGTAGGAGGTGATTTCGTCTCCTGCGTGCCGAGGAGGCCTTGTGGAAGAACTTTGTGTTTGAATCCCCATACTTCAACCAAAGTTCTTTTGAACGTTGTCGCCAAAACAGTTCTTCCTGCTTCAACAAGATCTCGAGCTCGGCTTCTGCCTTCATAAAATCATGAATTGCCTGTGCCATTCTATCTTCTTCCAAAGATGTCAGTCTCCGCTGCAACTTATTAATACGTTTGTCGAATTGTCTAGCATGATCCCCACCCCACTTTTGCAATTGATGACTGCAAATTTCTATACGCTATTGGAAGCCCATACCTGCCGATTGTCTCCATGCCATTTCTACCACTTTCGCGCAACCCGAGTCGAGAAGCCAGGCGGATTCAAATTTGAAAGCGTACCTTGCTGCACGAACCGGGCGTGTCTCTAAGTCAATAAGAATTGCGCTATGATCAGATTCAACAGTAAAAAATTTTCGCACTACTGCGTCCTCATGTAGTTCCACCCAACCAATCGTCGCCACCGCCCTATCTAGCCTCTCCTCCACCCAATCCTCTGTACCATGCCCTTTTTCCCACGTGAACCGGCCCCCTATCATACCCAAATCAAGTAACTCGCAATCTTCTAAAGTATCATTGAAACCTTCAATGAGGCCTTCCGGATGTGAATGAGTACCCCGTTTCTCAGATAAATAGGAGATATCGTTAAAATCCCCTGCGACAACCCAAGGAAGCGATGATTGCACCTTGAGTTGCCAAAGGAGATCCCACGTGGATTGCCTTTGTGAACGGTCAGGATTACCGTAAAACCCCGTCAGTCTCCATTTCGGCCTGTCTGGAAGAGTGATTTCCATATCAATATGATTGCCTGACATACTTAGAAGCGATGCCGCCTCCGCATCCCTCCACAGTAACGCTAGTCCACCTCCCATACCCTCACGGTCCACACACAATGCCCCTTCAAACCCCAATTTCACTCTCACTTGCTCCACTTTCTCACAAAACGCTTTCGTCTCCGATAAGAAGACAAAAAAGGGTCGCTCTTTGGACACTATGTCCAATAACTCTCGAACTGTCCGGGCGCCACCCAAACCCCGGCAGTTCCAACTGAGAACACTTATTGGGCTGGGCGAGTCTGGCCCTCCAGACCCGCCGACAATAAAATTTTTGAACTCTCGGACATCAACACATCCTCCCCAGCCACACCAGTGACCTGTTTAGTTGATTCTCTCCTTCTCTTCAATTCCCCCTAAACTCCAGTGCTCTCCTGTATCGTCACCAGCTCCAGAGGCGAAGGCCCAGGCAGAGATGATGGCAGAATTGACGTAGCATCCTTCGGTAATAGCCATTTTGCACCGACTGGTTTGGCTTGCCTGCTTGGTCCAGCACGCATCCAACTACCGAATGGAAACGATTCAGGTGAGATACCATTTTCATAAGCCTTCCTACAGAATTTCTCGATGTGACCCAAAATTCCACAGCAGAAGCAAAATGCGTTGAGTCTTTCGTATCGGAAATTAATCCACTACGTGGAACCATCCTTGCGCATGAGCCTCATACGCCTTTTTAACGGTATCCCCACCTGCATCCTTGCCCTAACGTGATAGAAACCTTTCCACGATCCCCCGAAATTATTGGGGTCGATCGCGACAAAGGAGCCTAAGTAATCACCGATTCGGGTCAGGAAATCTGGTGATGCATACATCGCCGGTAGCCCGTGGATCTGTACCCAAAATGTCACTGTGTCGAGATCGACATCTTCGGGTCTCGATTCTGGAGGTACACGCTCGCACACCAGAGTGTGATTTTCAAACGACCAAGGCCCATCGTCGATGACTCTCTGCAGATCCTTAGGGTGCGGGAATCGAAACAGGAACAGCTCCTCCGTTAACGCCTCCACCTGCATGCCCATCACCGGCCGCCATACGGACGCCAGGACTTGTTGCATATGGTCGAAATTGATCGGACGATCGGTGAGAAACCGCCCAACCAATCTATGATGGATCGGCGCATCGCTCGAGGGTGGTGGATCAGGCGCCTCTAGACCAGACACCTCCTCCTCCGTAATTGACAGACTAGCACAATGATCCTCGATTTGGCGGATATCCATGATGATCAAGAAAATCCACACCACGAGAGAAGAGTATAAATATGACTTCATTGTAACGAAAAAATGTAGCAAATATAAGCCCTAGAACACTAGGGAGAAACCTCTCTTGCGCACGAACAAGAGAGAGGGCCACTCAATCGGCGGGCACGATCGGAAAAAGCACGATCGACGTTCACGATCTGGATTTGCGAAAGTTACGGAGCATTTGCATCTATGAACTTTATAATTCCTATATATATATATATATATATATATATATATATATATATATATATATATATATATATATATATATATATATATATATATATATATATAACTAAATTTTAATATTAAGTATTAATATTGGGCATATATTTTTGCGCATCACGCATATGAAATACTAGTTACTTAATAAATTTGAATATAAGGAATCTTTGCCTTGTAGAAAATAAGAACAATATAACTAATAAAATTATATATTTTTTTAAAAAAAAATTGATAATGAATAATTTTTTTTTTTTTGAATAAAGGCATTGTAGACATTTAATTCTAAATTAAATAAATGAATATGTATTATTTTTTGTTATAGCTACTAATTTATTTAATTTAATAAGAGTAATATAATAAAGTGAGATATATACTTTTTATCCACAACAATGAAGTCATTGATTTTTTTTTTTAATTTCTCTTCGTTGTTGAGACAAATTATTTTGGGGTTTATCAATGACAATTGTTACAATTACTTGTCAATAGAGGATAAAGATAAATAATTCGAAATATATTGTTATAATAGATATTGTTATAATGATATATTAAATTAAAAAAACGTAACCTAAATTTTTAAAAAAAAATACAAGAAAATGATTTTCGGGGTTCCTTATTTGTAATTTTGATGTCCAACTTTGAATGCTTTGTATTTAGTCGAGCTAATTATTTGACCAAATTTCATGTTAAATTTTATATTAAAATTTTTAATACACTCTAACATATTCATAGTATGTGGTCAACAATTATGCAAACTCTGATTGGGATGATGTTCGAACCTATGACCTTTAATTTCTTATAGAAATCAATGAGAAAAGTTAAGATTAATAAATAGTTAACGAAATATTCCATTACAAAATTTTATACTAATGGAATGCAGGAGTATTTAAGAAAAGAAAATTATATAATAGAGGGTAAAGTATGAAAATTAAAGAAAAAAACTAAAATCTTGAACCATTAATTTCATCAAACAATTACACCAACATTGTTTACACAAACATTTTTGTAGTTCCCATTAGGGACCTAACTTTATTGGCTCTTATTAAGTTTGTAGATATTTACTATATCATCTATCTACTACACTAATCTACTATAGTATAATAATACTAATAAGAGCCAATAAAGTTAGGCCTATAATGGGTAATAAAAACTGTCCGTCAAATTATTAAATGAAATGAATAGTTCAGATTGTTCAGATTTTAATTTTTCTTTGAGATTTCCAAATTCATTCATTATAAGATTTTCTTCCCTTAAATACCCACACCTTAACTTTTCCGTTAAAAATTATAGAGTAAATTTCAATTTTGGTCCACTAACTATTGAAATTGTGTTAATTGCAACACTTGACTTTCAAAAATGTTAATTTAGTACCTTGACTATGCAATTTTTATCAATTTTGGTCACGCCGGCCAAATTACCAGCCAATTGTCACCGAAAAATCTTAAGTCAACATTTGACCTGAATTAGAATGGGCAAACTCGTCTTTTCTTGTTTATTCCAATTTGGGAAAGCGATTTGTTGACCAAAATAAAACCCAGCCTTTCTCTAATCTGCCCTAAATGGTGGATGAACCCAGCGAAGAATGAAGCCAAGCAAAAAAACAAAAAAAAAAAATTAAGAAGAGAAAACACAGCGTAGAATAGAAGAACGAAGACGAAGCTTTCAACGCCATTCTTCTTACATGGGTATGAGTAGTGTCTATTCTTCTTCTTCCAATAATGGTAACGGGTACGTACTATGAATTTGGGGATAGGTTCCCAATTGTCCATTGTAGATGTGGTCACCAACTGAAGATTCGAACTTCATGGACTAATGAGAATCCAGGTCAGAGATTTTGGCATTACTCCGGTGGTATCGTCGGCGGTATTGTAAGTAATTTTTTTTTTATTTTTTTGTTGTATAAGATTAAAGTTGCTAGAGATTTTATTTTTTTTTCACATTAATTTTGTTTTTGTTTGGTTTATGAAATTTGTTTAAAATAGAGTCTAAGGCAGGTTGGGTGTGGATTTGTTTGGTATGATCCTCCAATGTGCTATCGTTCGAAGCGAATAATTTCGGAATTGCTTAAACGCATTAATAGACAAGAAGAGATAAGAACACTCAATATGAAGATTCAAGGTGATAAGAAGGAGGCTGGAAAAGTGTTGAACAAGATTGTAGGAATAATGATTTTAATTTTTGTAGGTTTTGTTGGCAATAAGTATTGTGCCAGTCATCTTTGAATTGTGTAAAGTATGAAATGGCCTTTGAATTGTGTAATGTATGAAATGGCAATCTCTTAGTAGGTTTTGTAATGTATGAATTTATCCTTTTGGTAATGAATTGGTCCTTTTGCTAATGAATTGATCCTTTTGGTAATGAATTTGGTACAATTTCTCAAAGTGTTGATCCTTTTCACTATAATGCACAGAATGTGGTAATAACAATTTGCAATGTTATCATTTTCATTCATTAAGTGACCAAACTGTCAAGTTATCATCATTTGCAAAGTCATCATTTTGCATTCAACTATCAAGACAATATTACAATCAAAAACTGAGTTGTGTTAAGTAATGCACAATCACCAAAACCTACTGTCAAGACAACTTTGTCAAAGCATGCCAATAACCAAAAAGTGACTCCATTACAACACAACTATTGAGATTCAAAAACCAAAAAGTCTAAGCTTCATTCAGTCAATATTGATAGGGTCATCATTGTTTTTAAGAATTTGGACTTCAAGGTGGTCTTGCTCCTTGTATAGTAGGCTTCTTACGATTGGATTGCCTTGTCTTCGCCTCCCTGATCACTTGCCTCCTCCTGATGCTGCCTAGGAACTGGAACTTGCCTCCTGCTGATGCTGCTGCCTAGGAACATTTGTAGTGATGTTGATGGGGATTTGATTAGTGGAATAAATTACCCTTTTCTTTGGCTTCAAGTGAAACAATAAAATTATGTAAGTTAAAGTTTAAAAACAAAACTATAAATTATGCCATAAATGATTTATTACCTTTGTTTTGGTTTTGGATTAGATGAACACTTCCTTGAATTATGTCCAGTTTTCTTGCAAAGGATGCAATGCAATTGGATATGCTTTCTAGACACAGAAAATCCATCTTCACTCAACTTTGGCTCAACCTCACCAACAAATCTTAGTCTAAGCTTTTTAGGCCTGCCAACCTTGGTAGAATAGATAGGTGGCAGTGGGGGATCTTTGGTAGTCAGAGGCTATTCATCAGGTCCTGCCATGGGGTTAATTGAGCAACTATATATCTTCAAATATGTTTCCTTTGAATAACAGGATGGACAAAATCATAGAGTGCTCCTTTCCGATATTTTTTTCCTAATTGAACATACTGCATGCTTACAAGGAATCCCAGACAAATCCCATTTCCTACAGGAACAAGTTTTCCTTTCCAGATCCACCCGTTGTTGGTCCCCATATAACTATCTTTGATCAAATAATTTACTCATAAGCATTTTCCTTATAGTCTCTAGGCAGTCTATGATTGATTTGTCCCTAACCCCAAGTAATGTTGCATTGAATGACTCACATATGTTGTTTACCAACATATCATAGTGACTGTGTGTTGAGAAGTGAGACCTACACCACTCTGTTGGAGACTTATCACTTAACCATTGATAAGCTTCTTCATCTAATGCCTTAAGTTGGTGTAGAGCACTAGTGTAGGAATTCACAGTTGTTGCCCTAGCACAAGCCCAAAGAGCATCCTTCAGTGCATTCCCTTGAAACCCTGCCACTTTCATGTTTGAGTGAAGGTGCCTCACACAAAACCTATGCTCTACACCAGGTATGACTTCCACAAATGCTGGGATAAAACCTGTCTGCTTATCACTTATAAAACAGAATTCTTGCTCAACATTTTCTGTTATCTCCAAGTCTTCCACCAGTAATTGTAGAAACCAAGACGAAGGCTCCTTTTTCTCCCCTTCAACAATAGCATATGCATGTGGGAAAATACTATCATTAGCATCAACAACCACTGTAGTCAGCATCATCCCACCCGATCCACTTCTCAAGTGACATCCATCCACACCTATTAGGGGTCTGCAATGTTTGAAACCTTGTTTGCAAGCATCCTAATAAATGTACATTCTTAAAAATCTAGGTTACCCACTTTCATCTTACAAGTCACTAAGCTTCACAACACAAGAACTCCTAGGGTTTGTCCTAGAAATTTCAGCACAGTAGCTCCATATCTTCTTGAAGTTGTCTTCAGCATCACCAATTCTTTGTTTCTTGGCCTTCCAAATAGCCCTATAGGCTTGTTAATCTCTTAAATAGAACTCATCTTCACTACACACTGTATCCCTGAAATTTTTTCATCATCCATTCTGGGTTGTTTTTTAATTCCTTGGCCCACCTCTTTGCAACCACACTAGCTTTTTCAAAACCCAAGAACAACCTTCATGCACATCAACCATGCTTTGAATCCTCCAAGAATGTGAGTGAAGCACTTTCCTCAATCCTATTCTCCAAGGACAACCATCCTGTGAACACTCAACTATAACCCTTAAAGCATCATTTCTAATAGTTCGAATATCTTTCCCATTTTTGAAACCATAGTTCTGCACTGTTTCTCTAAACTGTTTCTTAGAGGCAAAGGTCATGCCTAATGTAAACTTGGGATCATTCATGTCAGTAGCAACTCTAAAAACAGACCATTTACTATCCCCATCACTATCAGAATCAACTACAGAAGCATCACTAGAAATGTTTATCTCATCCCAATCATATGAGAGTATTTCACATTGTTCTTTCTTTAAGTTCATGTCTGCCTTTCATTCAGTTTTGACCACAGCACCACTTTCCCATTCACCCTCACATTCAACTACATTAACTTTTGCTTCAATAAAATCATTTGCATCCATAATTTCTACCCATATCTCCAACATTTTACCGTCATCCTGCGCAGTTCTAAGACACTTTGCAACATCATTTATCTGTTTGAAGTAACTTACACCTACCATTTCCACCCTGATAAATGTATGTTCCTACTGAAGAATACCCTAGATCTTCTAGCTTATCCTTGAAGAATTGTAGACACAGTTCCTTAGCTTGCACACTGTCATATATTTCTATATCATCCCCCATGTATTTAATTCCACCTCGCCTATTAATTACACCATTATGGAAAATAAACACATGAAAAAGGCCAATATCATCTCTTGTAAATCACCCAAATAGTAAAATAACAATATAAAAGAACATGTCAGTACTCCTAAGTCCAATATATGCACAAGACACATCAACCAAAAGATAAACATAGTGGTCCCACATAGCTCAGCATATACACAGAACACAACACTATTATAAACAAATTGGTCACCACAAAGGTTAATGTCTTGCTTTAGTCTAACATATCAACAAAAACATACAAATATTGGCCCCCACAAGATTCCACAAATAATCCTATCAGCATATATCTTTGCTCTAAAATTGGTCCCCACATGTCATTTTCTGAGCATATATAAAGCACACTATAACACATTCTCATAACACTGCTATTTTACTTCATAATGTACAAAAACATGACATTCTCTCTAACACGAAACAATGCCAGTATGACTATCAAAGATGCAAATTTCACACAATTTTAACCACACAAATTAAGTAATCTCAGAGTATTACCACTAAGAGAAGACAAAATAGTCATTCAAATGGCTACTTCAGCGCGAGTAAATGGAGACTGGTTCACTTCAGTGCTTTCTTCCTTCATTGATTTTCTCTTCCTTCGCGGATTCGCATCTCCTGCCCTGTCGCGATTTTCTCTTCCCCTTGTTCTTCGTCAATTTGGAGTCAATTAGGTTTCAAGGAGTTAAGGGCAGATTAGAGAAAGGCTTGGTTTTATTTTGGTCAACAAATCACTTTCCCAAATTAGAATGAATAAGAAAAGACGATTTTGCCCCTTTCAATTCAGGTCAAATGTTGACTTAAGATTTTCCGGTGACAATTGGCTGGTAATTTGGCCGGCGTGACCAAAATTGATAAAAATTGCATAGTCAAGGTACTAAATTAACATTTTTGAAAGTCAAGTGTTGCAATTAACACAACTCCAATAGTCAGTGGACTAAAATTGAAATTTACTCAAAATATATTCTGCGTTAGTAGTTCTAATTCTATTGTCAGTGACAATCAAATAACTAATAAGGAATTAATTCGAAATAGAATTGTGTAAAGGCTATTGATTAATAAAAATGATGAAATTTCTTTTCACTTGCTAGGTAATTAGGGCTCACTTAAATTAGATAAAATTTCTTAGTTGACTAAATAACAATCTCTTTGTTCCATGTCAAGAGAAAAAATTATACTATAGAAAGTACTAGATTTGTGAGTTTATTTTCCGTGGTAACTAGTGAGGCTATATATATATACATACACAAGACTTATGGTGGATATTTCATATTTGGAAAATTTATCATGGACTTTAATTAATTTAATTTGTTATGTTTCGTTGCTGAGTTTTTTATTTTCTTTCACAGTGTGGAATTGAAAAGTACTCCTTAATTGTTTTGGTGGCAAATCACAAGTTAAGGGATGATTGTAATGTTGGGTAATAAAGTGGAAAAATCTCAAAATAATAATCCTAAGGAAAGATTATTATTATATGGGAAAACAGAAAAAATCTTGAAAGGAAAAGGTGGAAAATTTGGGTAGAGGTTAGCACGAGTTTGAACACAAAGTTCTTTTCCTTAAAACCTTATTTGCTACCTCCCACAAATGCTAGGAGCGTTGTAGCCTAGGTTTCCAAGGATAAAACGTGCTACGATTCTTTGTTTAAGCACCCAAACAAAGAACCCGGCAAACAAAGCAAAGCAAGAACACTTGTTGGCTAAAGAAGAGAGTCGAAGCATAGTTTTGAGAAGCTAAACGTACTGGAATTCCTTTGTTTCTTGTTCTGTGTAAAATGTTACTGCTCTACCTCTTTTTATATAGGGTTGTTGGAGCGATAGCATTCAACATGGCCATTAAATTGGTATTAAAACCAATTGTGTAACACTCGTAACAGCCACCCACTAACTAGGATTAAACTCAGATTTAAAATTGGAATTAAAACAATATTAATTCTGTAACAGATGAGTTTAATCTTCACAACAGGCTGAACTTTCGGGTTTCAGACCGTTGGGGTGCAGGTTCGCTGTTCAGGACACGAGGACCTGCAACACGAGAGTGCACCTCACCGTTGCATGAGAGTTGTGCTCTCCGTGCACCACCGCCTCTGGTGCTCTCGGTTTCGGCCACTTAGCCCGCAAGGCCAGCCAATTTCCAGACGGCATTCGGTCATTCGTGCTCGCAGGTGCCGCAGGCTGAACTTTCGAGTTTCAGACCGTTGGGTGCAGGTTCGCTGCTCACGAAAGTGCACCTCACCGTTGCACGAGAGTTGTGGGCTCCTCTGGTGCTCTCGGTTTCGGCCACTTAGCCCGCAAGGTGCCGGCGAGCTCGGGCTTTTCGATCTCGTTTCTAGTTGGAATTTGATTTGCACTCCCCCCCCCCCCCCCCCCCCGCGCGAGTGAGCCTCTATGCTATACAATTCTACAAGCTCCAAAAGAGCTCTTGTATAAAAGGGGGGCAAATCTTCTTTCCAAATCAATGTGGGACAAAGATCACTTTTCCCTTCATTTTCCAACTAAAATGGGTTTACTTTGAGAATCAATATCTCATTCACCCATTATCCGTTTTGAGCGTACAATATATCAATCTCTTGGTCTCATTACGAAGAACCCGAATCAACTTTGACCTGACCCAAATTGAAAGTGGACCCCACTGATAATTGTACCACAAAATAGTCCCTTAATATGCCATTTTATGCCGTTATAAGCTATTTTTTTCAACATGTAATCCTAGTGAGTCAGTCACCTTACTTTTATATTTTAAAAAGAAATAAGGGTAAAATATGTCTTCGAACTACATACGAAAATGTAATTAGGTCATTAAATTAAAAATATATATATAATTAAGTCCCTAAATAACGAAAAATGATGTAATTAAACTAAAAATGACCAATTTATCTATTAGTTTATTAACGTGAAGGTTACCATATTAAAAATAATAATTATTTTATTTATTTTAATAATTTACACAAGCGTACACCTACTATGAGATATGTGCGTGAGTCACATGTTAAAAAGATGGGAATGGTTCAAGATGCTCCATATGAGATCTTGAATGTGCTCGAATTCAACCGGTTAGAAGAAATTGGATGAGGTGCACAACCAATGGTCACTGACATAAGAATAGATCACACTTGGTGGCTTTAAAGTTTAAACTGATCAGAATTATTTCCTATGCTACACTGATCACTGGGATAACACTCTCCTCTATGTTATCACCAGTAATCTAATTAGATATGACAAACTACTAATATAAAAGAAGAGTATAAGTACTAAAGATGAAGACATCTAATGACAATGCTACCCAAAAGAGAATTAAGAAGACTTTGAGAAAATTCAAACCAAAAGTAATATTTATTTAGACTATCGTTTTTAGACTAAGTATTTAGACTAACGTTTTTACAAAGTTGCAAACAATAATTTTAGTGACAATTATAATCAAGCTCGACTATATTATCTTGCATTCATATACTTAGAATTACCTATTTAAATAAACAAATTCAACATTCAATAATCCATGCATGAACATCTCCTATATAATCTTGCATTGATATACATTGAAGTACTTATTTAAAAATAAACATTTGACATTATCTCATTCGCGCAATACACGTGAAAAACTAGTTTTAAGATATGTTTAATTTTGGTTTAAATATGATGGGGTTATTGGAGTTTGGTACAGTTATTTATTTAATTTTAATAGGACTGGAGTGAGGCCCAAGAGAGAGAGGGGGTGTGGAGGCCCAAGAGGAAAGGGGTGCAGGATGGTGGCCGGCATTGCTTGCCGTGGGGGCGTCAGCGAGGGCACGGCGGCGCGCCCCGGTGGCATGGTGCCGCGCCCTGGCGGCTTCCAGCTCAGACAGGCGCTTGGGACGCTAGGCGTGCACGCCCTGTCTTGGGCGTGCTATTGCTAGGCGCGCCTGTCCTTCGCGGACGGCCTGTCGCGAGGGACTCGGGCATGGTGCCTCATGGCATCTGGCGATTGGAGGAGGTAGTTGATGGGGTTGACGACATGGCATGCCTCCCAAATTCTACTCCCTATGACATGACATGTCTTGACTGCTTAATTTAGTAGGGGGTTATGCTGTTTATCTATTCATTTTTTTCTTCTTCCAATTAAATTTGAATACAAATAGGAATAAAAGTTGAGAGCATGTTTTTAGAAGTACACCGAAGTATTTTTGTTTTAATTAACTCGAAAGGGGCGTAGTAATATGTGGGGGAAGCCGTACAACATTAATAACACTCGTTATATCGTAGATCGCGGTTCACATGCACTGTGGTAAAAAACGGCGTCGTTTCTTTAAGTAAAGAAACGGCCCGCAGTTATCATTAACGGAGTCCGCATATTTGGTGTATTAAACACCAATTGACACTACAGTATATATAAACCGACACTGCCTCACGATAAATGAAACTGCAGTTATATCAAAATGATACTGTAGTTGTTGTGAAGTGAAACTGCATTGTATATAAAATGAAATTGAATAACATTTCACATATTTGAATGTATATTGTACAATGAAGCTGTAATTATATCAAAATGATCATGTAGTTGTATTTTAATAAAACTATAGTGTATATAAAATAAAGTTAAATAACATTTTCACATATTTGAGTCTATACATATCGAATGAAACTGTAGTCATATCGACGTGAAACTGTAGTTGTATTGAACTAACAGTGTAATGTATACAAAATGAAACTGAATAACAGAGTTACTTTTTGCGGAAGTGTGCGGATCAGAACGACGGGAAACGGTTTCATTAAACAAAACAACATCGTTTTGATGCACGGTGTATGATCAATCATGCACCGTGGTACACGATATAATTTGCGCATTAATAATTGTTGTCGTTATGGATGTATACGATGAGACGATTAGTTATGACCGTTTATGCGACGCGTATAATAACATGATGATGTTGTTGATTGTAAATAAACAAACAATTAAATAAAATGTCAGCATTTTAAGGTTTAGATAATAAAATATAATGCTGACTTGACTTTATGCTAATTATATATTTGTTTTGTGGAAAGGATTAAATAGTATAGTAATTTTTATGGCGAATAGGATTAAGGATTAAATAATACATTTTTTTATGATGTGAATAGTAGTATTAGATATAACTAAGTATGAAATATTTGATTGTATATGATAATATATTGATATTGTTTTGAATGTCACAACTAAATATTAGCAATACGTACTTAATAATGGCGATGATTTTAAATTTTTTTAAAAAAAAAGGAAAAAAAAAATAAATCTCTTTGTTTAGGAGTAAACGTATAGAGATGCACTCTGGTGAGAGCGGGAGTTCATGAGAGAACTAAGAGTCAATCGCAGTCGTTCACGTGACCAGATTCAACAAATCAAATGTAATTTTGAAAAAATAATGCGGTGCAAGTGAAATGTGTTAAAAATACAAGTAACTGGTACAAGTTGGCAAGTAAAAAGTGCAAGTAAATCACTTACAAGTGCAACTATTTTTACTAAATAGTGCAAGTAATTTACCCTATTAACCTTCGTGCACCTAATGATAAAGTCTTTCACATAAGTGCACTTAATGATAATATTTGGTGCAATTAATGATAACGTTTGGTGCACTTAATATTGATGCTCAGTGTATATTATTTTTTGCACTTGTAATACATTTTACTTGCACTTAGGCGCACTATATAAAATTGTTACCTGCACTTATAACACAATTTACTTGCACTTTGATGTTCAATTATTTATCAAAATGCCACTGCATTTTTATAAAAATCAGTGTTTTTGATCCGTTAGATCTGGACATGTGGACGTCTGTGAGTGGTTCTTAGTTCTCTCCTGGCAACCCGTTCTCACCTGAATGGCTTCTTTTGTGTGTGTGTGTGTGTGTGTGTGTGTGTATTTTTGTGTGTGATTATATTCAAATACAAACAGACCTTAAAATACAAACGTGTGGATTGATTAGGATCGTTAGATTTTGGAATTGAATGGATATGATTTATTTAATTAGTTTTGCATATTTTAATTGACCAAGCGCCTGTTTTTAGGTTAGGGAAGATAATTTTGAGGTTTGACTATTGTTTTAATTGCATTAAATTATAGGAATTCAATCAGGATTAGAAACTTTATCTCACCCAATCTCCCTCCCTCCCCCTCCCCCCCCCCCCCCCCTCTCTCTCTCTCTCTCTCTCTCTCTCTCTCTCTCTCTCTCTTCACCGTGGTTGTCTAAGAAGTGCCTCCCACACCATTAGACTCAGATTCTTCATCAACGGTGGAAGATGGTCGTCGGTGGGGGCCAAAGTAGAGCCAAGCGATGGGGACCACCAAATCGGAGTGTAGGTCGAGGTATTTTTTTTGTACGCTTTTGTCGTTTTCGATTGTTTTGGCTGTTTGTATCCAATTTTTTTCATTCGTTTGTTGTTGTCTGTTGGAGGCGATTTTTGTGTCTGCGTGTGTGTGTGGAGGGAGGGGGGCTGGGGACGGTGGTGCATTGCTCGACAGCGGGATTTAGTTGATTTAGGGTGTTTTATTTATTTATTTTTACTTTTTTTGATCAATTTTGGGTTTGAGTAGGTGTGTGTGGCCTGGGTGCAAGGGTGGCTCGCTGGTAGGGGTGGTGTGATGTCTGGGTCTGGTAGGGGGGTTGGGATGGCGTGGATTGGCAGTTTCTTGCTGTGCAAAGCTGGGGAGGGGTTTGGGGGTAGGGGCTGTTGGCCGGTTTCTTTATTTTTTTTTTCTTATTAATTTTTTTCAATGGTAATATGTTTTATAATTACTAACGAGACATTTGGTTGACTGGTTCAAAGAATACAAATAAATGAATAAAATTCCAATAAGAATGGAATAAGAAACGGATAGAATATGAATACTATTCTATTGTTTAGTTCATAATAAGGGAAATAAACATAGGATTATATGAGTAAATCATATTCTTGCGTTGAGTCAAATTTGTGTGACACTGGTACATGAATCTTAATCCGTGAGACATGTCAAATTTAGGATGGTTGCTTGGTACTTATGATAACACTCATAATTCTTATTACAAAAAATATAATAAACATTACTTAGAAATAAATGTTACTTATAATAAATATTGTAATATTTATATTTGAAATTATGATACTATTTAGGGTAAAATGGTCGTTACTAATGATAAATATTGTAATGTTTATAATTGAAATTGTGATACTTACAAAGTGTAATTCTAATATAAATATTGCACTACCTCTGTTATATTTTATCTGTCATATTTAATATTCATTAATCAAACAAACTATTTTTTCTTATTTTCTTTAGTATTTTTTTTTTAATTTTTAAATCTAATATTTTGTGTGTTTAATAGTACTTTTAATATTGTTTCTAATTATATAAATTTTATATACTAATACTAAATTTAATATCTCACAAAATTGAATAAAAAATTTTTAGTTCAATTTTTGATAATGCTAAATTTTGTATTTGTGTGTGTGTATATATATATATATATATAAATAATTTATATATTTAAAAACTATATTAAAATACTATTAAACACCCACAAATATTAAATTTAAAAATAATTAAGAAATGCTAAAGAAAATAAATAAGGAATATAGTTGATTTGACTAATAAATATTAAAAGAATAAGGTTTAAATTAGCCATTGAATAACACCAAAGTGCAATCAAGCCATTCAACCGAAAAAACATGCAATTGACCCCCTAAACTTATAAGATATGTGTAATTAGATCAAAATTGACCTGCTATCCAAGTTAAATGCTGACATGGCGGTTAAAATTTAATAAATTATTTTATTTATTTATTTATTTTAAATATGAAAACAAAACCAACCACTAGTCCACCACTCCTCCGTCGTCGCCGCCACAAAGTGCAAACTGGATTCAATGGTCAAACAAATAACGGAAGCCTGTAGCGAATATGGATTTTTCCAACTTAATTTACTAATTTGCAGCAGGCCATTTCATTTTGGGCTGACAATTTCACTTTTAAGGTGATAAATCCTGGGTAGCAAAGAAAATCAATCGTTATTGTATGGACCATGGTCCACACAAGTTGTGTGGATCATATTTTGTCTATTGTAAAATAATGTACATTTAATACAAAAATAATGTACATTCAGTACAAAAATAATATACATTATATTCAAGGGATGTACATTATTTTTGTTCTGAGTGTACATTATATTTTATAATGTATATTCAGTACAAAAATAATGTACATTTAGTATATTAAAAATGTACATTTTATTATGGTTCACAAAACATTGTGTGGACCATGTTCCATACAATAATTTGCCAAAGAAAATGACAGAAGACATGTTAACAGTAGCCCAATAATTTTTTCAGTTGCCCAATCAACGACCCTGAGGCTATCCACCAGCTTCAATGTGAAAAAAGAGACTGTTCATAACGGGAGAGACTACCACAGACTTCTTTCAGGTCAGTCTTGCGTACTTTGTCTCCTGCGGCGGCGTCATCGACGGCGTGCAGAGAGTCGCTCTGGAGATCGGCGTTGGTCTAAAGGTCGTCCTCACCACGGGTTCGTTGTTTATATTTACCGATTCATTGCATAGCTAGAGATTTTTTTCCTATTATCAATCTGATTTCTGATGTATTTGTAATCTTTATTTTATGGTTATTATATGTTAACCAAGGGGTGGTAGTTGGGGTTTTTTTTTTTTTTTTAAATATTTAGAATCAATAAAATGAAAAATAAAATGATTTATTAAAGATTAACTGTCACGTTAGCGGTTAACCTAGAGGACAGGTCAATTTTAACCTAATTACACATTTTTTACAAGTTTAGGGGGTTAATTGTATTTTTTTTAGTTGAATGACACAATTGCACTTTTAGGTGTGGTTTGGTGGCTAATTTGAATTTTATTTTAATATTAAATATGACAGGTAAAATGTTATAGAGAGGGTAAAAATTAAGTGGAATAGTGGGAGAGTATTATTTTGTAATAATTCAATTAATTTAAACTCTTCATTGGATTTCTTATGTATCAAAATACTGAAGACTTTTCCTCCCTTCCTTGTAGTTACCCAGATAATATTTTCTGACCCGATCTTATTTTCTTCAACTACCATACCAACACTCCAAGACCATATTTTCTGACCAGTTCTTATTTACTTCCTATATGTCCTTTACTTTACCCCTATAAATACCCATAATACTTCATTCTCTCATTCATAACTTCAATTTCCGATCCACTCCGCCATTAATTATAATATGTATCCATCAGTTTCAAGCGATTATAATAAATCTCCGCCGCCTTCTGCTCCGCCGCTCCCCAAAGAGCCTCCGGTTGGCATCCCGGTAGGTGGTCCACCGCCGATTCAAGCTCCCGCCGTTTGGTCTTCCGGTCTCTGTGACTGCTGTGATGATGTCTCAAATTGTACGTATATATGCTTCACTGTTTACTTTATTCGATATATGTATGGTATAATCTTTGTTTCTCTCTTTCTTTCTCTATATATACTGTATCTGCGCGCATGCACCCCGTTCTTTTTTTGTTTTTTTTTTTTGTTTTTTTTGTTTTTTTTAAAACATTTCATTTAGTATTAGATTTTTGCAGGTTGCATAACATGCTGGTGCCCTTGCATCACATTTGGACAGATTGCCGAAATTACGGACAAAGGGGCAACTTGTAAGTAAATACTTCTTATTATATGTTTGATTTAGTTAATGAGATTTGACTAAAGTTGTTTTTATTTATTATTTTTTTTATTTCTCTCATTTCTTTGCAAACTAGTTTTCAAATTTTTATTACCAACACCAACATCACAACCACCACACCATCACCACCATCACCCTGACCAACATAACACACAATACAACCACTACCATCACCATAATCACACCACCACCACCACCGCCACACCATCATCACCACCGCCACCATCACTACCATCCCACCACCATCGTCACCATCACTATCACTACCACCACCACCACCACTACCACTATTGCCCCATCGCCACCATCACTATCACTACCACCACTACCACATCACCACCAACACCACCACCACCGTCACCACCATCACCATTATTATTATTATTATTATTATTATTATTATTATTATTATTATTATTATTGTTGTTGTTGTTGTTGTTGTTGTTGTTATTGTTATTATTTAACAAATAATATGTTCATTTTTCAAAAAAAAAAAGAAAAAAGAACTAAACAAAAAAAAAATAAAAAAAAAATTGAAAAGAAATAAAATTTCTTTACTTTTAGCCAAATTAAAAAAAAAAATGTAGTTTTCTAACCTTCAACTAAACATTAGAAAATTAAAATATTTTTTGGGAAATAAGTTATTTTCTGAAAATTATTTTTTAAAAAATATTTTTTAAGTTTTCAAACGGACACTAAGGTTAGTATTAGTATATATAGAATGTATACATTTAAAAACTACATTAAAAATATTATTAAGCACAAAAATTAAAAATATTTAAAAAATATTTTACAAAAATAAAGAAAATATAATTGGTTTGACTAGTAAATATTCTGTAGTAATTAAATCAGGGTTGCAAAAATCCCGCCTAGGCACCGAGTAATCGCCGCCTAGGCGCTAGGCGCCCCTAAGCCGTGGCGATTTCCCCCCTAGGCTCCCGCCTAGGAGACCGGCCGCCTAGGCGCCCGCCTAGCGCCTAATTCGGCCGCCTAGCGCCTAACTCGGCCGATTACGCCGAGTTTACTCGTCAATTTCTGTCGAGTTAGCCGAGTTAACCCGATCGACTTGACCTTGCTAATTTTTTTCATTTATATATATATAATTTTGTTTTTTGAAAACCATAGTTTTGATGTTATGACTTATGAATTATCATTAATTCATTTATTTGGATGTGTTGTTTGAATAAATGTTGAAAACAACCTCATTAAAATTGTCAAACTGCAAGTCTACCACTGTTTTTTTGGCGCCCGCCTAGCGCCGCCTAGACCGCTTAGGCGCTAGGCGCTGCCCGGGCGCCCGACTAGTGCCTAGCGCCTACTGCAACCATGAATTAAATATGATAGATAAAATGAGTCAGTCTTACCCAAAATCTCAAGTTCTTGATCCATAAGTGGAGTCATGAATCTAGTTAATTAATTTTTAGCATTTACTTATTTGTTTATGTGGATTGTAGCTTGTGGGGCAAGTGGAGCCCTGTATTGTCTCATATCAGCTGTTATTGGATGCCCTTGTTTCTATTCATGCTTCTATCGCACAAAGCTTAGGAAACAATATATGTTGCCTGAAAGCCCCTGCGGAGATTGCCTTGTTCATTTTTGTTGTGACAGCTGTGCTCTGTGCCAAGAGTACCGTGAACTCAAACACCGTGGATTCGACATGTCACTTGGTATATATCTCTCACTTTTAAAACTTATTTTTAATTTCATAAGGTATATTTATTAGAATGGTAAAATTGGATTGATAAAATAGTAACTATAAGACTAGAGTTAAGGTAGTTATCAATGTGTTTGGATTATCTCTAAATTTCATTTTGAATATACGAAATCTTGAGGGGGTGTTTGTTAGTGGTTGTTAGCTTGATAACTGTTAGTTGATTGAGTTAGTGTGTTTGACTAGTTGATAGCATTAGTTGATTGTACAAAATTGTTTGGTAAATTAATTGTTAGTTGTTAGCTGATTACATACAAAGTGACTTTATCAAAAAATTAATCAGGAAAAACTACTTTGAGTAGCTTTTTTATTTTTAGCATTTTGAAGCAATAAGTTGTTAAAAAAAACTAATTAATCAAGCAATCATATTGATTGTTTAACCTAGTCAAACAGCTAATAGTGGTCAAATAAGTCAAAATTTTTTTATAGACTAACTATTTCACCAAATTGGGCCTAAGTAATTTTTGAGATTTGATACATTTATTGGGTGTCATGAATTGGCGGCCCCCATTAACTTTTAAGGAATAATAAATAAAAAAAAATTAAAGTAACCAATCAAACAATGTCATGTTAGAAAGGAAAATTATTGAGGAAAATTTTTAAGGATGAGGAGCATCACTCAAAACTATATATATATATATATATATATATATATATATATATATATATATATATATATATATATATATTACTTTGAAACTTATGGCTATCATAGTAGTTTTGACTTTTTAATTTTTTTTAGTCGGCTAAGAAAATAATTCGAATATACCCCCTCCTTTGTATGCTGACTTGAGCTATGTACGCAATACTATGAGACAAGTCAACATTGATTGAGTCCATCAAGTGCAAATATTGTTAAATGTAAATATTTAACATATTAAACTTCAAAGTATGCATTTCTAAAATTAAATAGAAAATAGGATATGAAATGATATAATTTATTATGAATAATTAAAATGATTACACTTTGTTTCGATACAATAAGTATACTATGTATATGTATAATATAGATCGAATGACGGCTGTAAATTTGTACTTCAATAAGTTGAGAAAATATCGAGTCTATAATATATATAAAAAAAAAAACAAAAATATTAACGAATCATTTTTCTTTGTCAAGGATGGGAAGGAAATATGCAGAGACAAAATATGGGAGTGGCAATGACGGCTCCTGGAGTTCAAGGAGGAATGAACCGTTAATTCAGTTATATATGCATATAAGGGTGGTTCAACTACTTTCTTCCAACAATAACATATTTCATAATCTGTCTTAGTTTTAAATATGTGTGTGTCTGTATAAGTAGTTTCTCGAGTTCTACATTTGCTTTGAGTGTATGTTCTAATGCAATAATTTTTAAGTTTAGGGTCCGTTTGAAAAGTAGGAAAATTTTTTCTGGAAAATGAGTCATTTTCTAGAAAACATTTCCTTTTATAGTGTTTGGTTGCATATGAAAAATTGTCGTATTGTGTTTTATTCATTTTCTGAAAAATGATTAGAATTGTATAATTAAATATTTTAATTATTTTATTTAGAATATAAAAATATTTATAATAATATTAAATATAATTTTATATTCTAAAAATCTAATAAGTGTGAATGAAGGTTGGTACCCTTCATTTATGTCCGTTTTTTTGTTATCTCTTTTGATACATTAAGCTATAAATGTTGTACTATATAATTTTTTGGACAATAATGCCCCCACCATTTTAACTTCCGTTATCTATTTCCACTACTGTTACCATGCACTTGCATCCACCATATATTTTCTTACATTCTTTAATTGTTTTAATTGTAATAATATATGTAGATATTATATTAGAATATGTAGTAAATAAATTATTAATCATACCATAATTATACTTTTTAATATATAATATGAATTCTATAACTATAAATTTTATGAATTTTTAAAATAAATTATAAAATTTTATTTTAAAAAAATTATAACTATAATTTTAACATTGAATACTAATGTTGGACACTTAGTTTTGCACATCGCGCATAGAAAAGACTAGTTATATACATATATGCGTATATAGAGAGAGAAAGATTGGATAAGGAAAGGTAAAGCTTCAGCTCATGCCGTTTCTCTGCTTCTTTGCATTACCGGTGGATCTCTTCTTCTTCTTCCTTTGGATCTCTATGTTTTTTCTTGAGTTAATTCCTTTTTTGGTCCTAGACTTATTAGGGGTTTGACACTTTTAGTCCACCATAAAAAAAAAATTGCCACATTTTGACCACTCTTATAGTGTGAGTGCCACTTTTGATCCTCCATCTAATTTCCCGTCAGTTTACTGTCAAAATGAAGGACATTCTTGTCATTTTAGGTATTCTTCTTCTTTTTTTTTTTTGAAAATAGGTATTCTTCTTCTTAATTAGCCTTTTATCTTCTCTTTTCTTTTCTCAGCTTCCATTTTATAGGATAGGCTTCCTCGACTAGCAAGCTCTCCTGCAATTCGCTTTTCCTACTCGATCGTCCACACAACTGTAAAATCAACACATGAGACCCCATCTGTTTCAACAGGCACTGAAACTAGCGATTCATTAACTTTAACTAAATAACCTCGTATCGACGATATTTCTTTTAGTTCTTGAAGCAGGCTTTGAGATTCCTTAAACATATCTGCATCTTCAATTCCCCGGATTGAGTTTCCTTCCTAGACATGTAATTAACCACAGCATGCAGTCATGAATTGTATAGATTCATTTGCCTTTGAACAAAACAAATCAAAAACTAACATCTCAGCATTACTATTATTAATGAATGCTAGCCTACCACAGACACAAAAATTAAAGGACTTTGTTTATTACCAAGCATTTACATGATATCCTCTCTGCAAGAATTGGGGCTTAAGCCTACCTAAATAAAAAGTGCTGGGACACACAGAGGTGAAGTATTTTCTTTCAAGTTCACGAACAAAGCAGGATTTCCTAGGCTTGGCGCCGAACAGAATCCCAGGCTAAACAGTACAACTACACTGATTAGCTATATTAATGTGGCCGAAAACACCCCGGAAAACAAAAGAACAGAGCACAAAGATAAAAGAAAGCAACAGCTTTGCCATTGGTATATGAATGAATCTGGAAAAACGTGAAGAAGACGAGTGGGATGTGTATGTATATGTATAGGGAATAATGGATGAATCACGTGAATGGGCAATGAATATGTATATAAATATTTAGCTTTTTGCTTGTGGCTTTGTGTTTATAAATGGCGTAGACTGTAGAAGATTGTTCCTAGAAAATGGAAGCTGAGAAAAAAAAAAAAAAAGAAAAAAAAAAAAAAGAGAAAAGATAAGTCTAATTGAGAAGAAATACATGAAATGACAAGAATGCCCTTCATTTTGACAATAAATTGACGGAAAATTAGATGGATGATCAAAAGTGTCACTCCCACAATAAGAGTGGCCAAAATGTGGCAATTTTTTTTTTTTTTATAATGGACTAAAAGTGTCTAACTACTAATAAGTCTAGGACCAAAAAAGGAATTAACTCTTTTTTCTTTGGGGTAACTCTCACCCCACCCGTCGGAAACCTAGAAAAAAAAAACATCACTAGGATTTCCAGCGGAAACCATGCTTTAAATCTTAGCAGAAAATGACTTCCACCAAATTTTTGTGGAAGTCCATTTTTCACTAAAATGACCACATTTTTCATGGTCAACGAAAAATGTTCCAATTGCAACTAAAAATCAAAAACTCAAAAAAATGATTTTCAGAGGTTATTTTTCGGATTTCCAAACACAGCCTTAATCAATATGACGAAAAAGTAAAATAAATATTAACTCTTTTTTTTTTTCATATATTTATATTAAATTATCAAAATGATCCCTTAACTATATCGATTCGACTATGATCCTTATGTTTCAAAACTGCCTAATTAAGTCCTTTGACTTTTTTTTTTTTTTAACCAATCTAGTCCTCCGACACCTAACCCGTCATCAAATCTCTGGTGAACATAATGTTAATATGGTCATTTACTCATACTTTATCTCTATGTAAATTACAAAAATAGTCTATTGACTATATCAATTTAACTAATTTAGTCCTTTGACTAACATTTGTTTAACCAATTTAATTTGATCCTCATATCGTCAAATATGCAGACCAAATTGGTTAAACAAATGATATTCAAATGGTTCAATAGTGATGTGACTGATATATCCCTCAAAATATCTTGTCAATTTGGTAAGAGGACCAAATTGGTTTATGAAATGATGTCAAAGAACCAAATTATAGTTTTTAGATGCAAAGATCAAATCAGTGAAATAGATATAGTCGAGGGACCATTTTAGTAATTTATTCTTTAGAAATATCTTTTAAATTTTTAAATATAAAAAATTTCAAAATTGTTTATATTATTATATATAATATAATATAATATATAATATAATGATAAAAAACACTACAAGAAAAAATTGAATTACCTATAAATTTATCTACAAATTAAGTACTTTACAGTTTAAATATCTGTACATTTACGTACAAATTTCCATAAGTAAATTAACTACCTATGTATTGTATTAATTCATCTAGTGAAACTTTAATTTGAAAATCTTAACATAGTGTGTGGCACGGAAAATAAGTAATTAATTTATTTGGACAGCCAATTGGTGGAAGTCCATTTGTATCCTAAGATAATGATAATGTTACACGAGTGTATATCTATATGAATCTTCATTTGGTTTGTGGATTAAAAATATGACTATAAGAAATAATATTGTTCACTAAGGATGTAGAGCGTTTGAAATAACAATTTATTGTGAATTGAGATGCTTTCTCATGTGAATTATATTGTTGTATCGTTCTTGTTCGTTTTGCAATCGATATATGTAGATATAATAGGGGTAAAATGAGAAAAACAATTATGGAGTGATAAGAATATAGGAAGAGAGATTTTATTAATATTTAGACTATTCGCTACAGTGATACATATAAAGGATTTCTATAACTAAGGTTTTTTTTTTTTTTTTTTTTTGAACGAGATTTCTATAACTAAGGTAATTGAGTTGAAATCCACTTAAACTCTAAGTTATTGTTCTATAACCATCTACAAGTTTTTTCATTAATAAATTAAATGTTTAAATATTCTCATAGTGAAACTTTAAAAATTTTAAGATAGTGTGTTGCATCACAACTAAGTATGTAATAATAATTAATTTATACAGACAGCCTATTTGTGGACATCAATTTGTGGCCCAGTCCTTTAATTTCATGAGTTAGTTGTAATAATAATTAATTTATACATACAACCTATTTGTGGACATCAATTTGTGGCCCGGTCCTTAGATGAGTTAGTTATAATAATAATTAATTTGAGTTAATACCAGCCAAGATCCTTCGAGTTTGAAGATTTTGTCATTTATAGTCCTAAATTTTCAGTTGTCTCAGCGTAGTCATCTGACTTTCTAATTTTGACCTTCTGCGATCCTTCCGTTTGCACCGTAAAATTCAGCATTAAAAGGGTACTTTGTCTTAGTTTATTGATTTTTAAAGCTAGAAATACATATTTAGAGTAGTTCTTCTCCTCCAGTCGGATCCAATAGTGATTTTTAAATTAAAATTTTATAATTTATAAATTATAATATCATAAATTAACTTTCAGCGGTGGCACCTCTATGGCTCCCCTTGAGAGAAGGTCACAGGATCGAACTCCGGTGGTGGGGTCTAGACTCTTTGGACTGCAATAGATTGAAAAAGTATAAAACATATACTACCTTATAATAGAGTCAATAATGTTCAAAAAAAAAAAAAAAAAACTTTTAACGAGTACCGAACACCTAAAAAAAATGCACTGAAAATGACTTGGGGTCAAATTAGCCACTGAATTGCACACCAAACTACAATTAGGCCATCAAACTTTTAAACAAATACAATTGGATCCCTGAACAACACAAACTCGGACAATTTAATCCAAAATGACTTGTTTACCTGTTGTGGCGGTTATGAAATTTAAAAATAATTTTAAATAAAATAAATATTTAAAATTAAAAAAAAAAAATAAACAGCCGCTGGAGACGAAGAAGTCTTCGTCTCTGGCGTTGGAGGTCAAGGGACCTTCGTCTCCATGGTCGGAGATGAAGAAGGCAACTTTGTCTCCGGCCATGGAGACGAAGGTGCTGGAGGCGAAGAATGTACCTTCGTGTCTGGCTAGGAAACGAAGGGACCCAGCTGGAGACGAAGACTTCTTCGTCTCCGGCAAGTTTTTTTTTTTTTTTTTTTTTAAATTAAATTAAATATAATTTCCATCCGTCCACTATTATAGAGGGACAAAATTGTCATTTTATCTAATAGTCTAGGGACCAAAATGGGTATTAACTTTTATTATCTAATAATCGAGGGACCAAAATGGGTAATAACTAT